GAGACTCGTGCTTTGAGAAATGCATGCATATCTATGTTATAATTATAAAGCAATTAAGAAATGTATGCAACTCTTTTGATAGCGTGTAGTACAAGAATTTATGTGTTAAAGGTTGCCGAAAAATTTTCAAATAGTGAAAAATGTTGATTCATTTTTATGCATATATATTTTTGGAGAACATTGAAAGTATTGAACACTAATATAAGAACATTCACCCAATTCAGTAGGAAACTGCTCAAGACGCTACAAAGTTTTGGGTTGAGAGGCGTGTTTCTAAGGATTCGATAGTAAATAAGAAATTTAGGAACTTGGCCACTTTTGCATTGTTTTCTTTGCCAATGCGCAAGTGGGTAAAACATTTCGTCAGATCAATACTGTGATGCTTAACTCAATTTCAAGCGTCAGGCAAAACATATATATTATTATATTAGCGGTTAGGTGACCAAGTGGGGCATGTCTTGCCGACCACGCCCATTGTTAATGACGAAGGTTAATATGGTGATGGGAACTAACTACCAATAAACTCACGCTATTTTCTTCGGTTATACTCAGTTTATTCATTTTAACTATTCGTCTTCTCGCTAAATCTAATACAAAACGTCTGCACGCGCCGAGTGTCGAACTCTGACCAGCGCGCGACCGTTCGCGCCGAGCGTCGAAAACTCCAGCTCCCAAAAACGCGTCTGTTCGCGCTGCCTGCCAAAAACTAATTAATCTCCGCTTGCAGCTTTCGCTTCTATTCTACTTGGTCGGCGTCGGCAATGCAGCCTCACCACAGCGAACTTTTAAGCTGCATGGTCGCATCGCCGATCGCGCGCCCGCCCACTATTCAAATCCTACTTAGTCTACAAAAACTACTTGCTATGTCACTTATGACCACTTAATAACTAATTAACAATGTCTTACAAACTACCAACTTATCCAACTTATTACTTAACTTACTCACTACAAAATCCAAAACTTAACCAGAGTATGTTCTACTAACTCGGATCTTATCAACTACCAACCTTTTCAACTACAAACTCCTATCTACTACAAATCTTATTACCTACAAACTCCTATCTACTTATGGCGCGGGTGCAATGTAAGGTGGGTCGCAGGTGAGCCCCCTTACAACCCATTGAAAATGGGAAATCAGGGTATAATGGTTTTGTTGAAATGTATGTAACAGGTAGAAGGAGGCGTGGTAGACCCCATAAAGTATATATATTCTTGATCAGGGCGACGAGCTGAGTCGATCATCCCGTTAATTTTTTTATAGATAAAAAAACTTGTCGAAAATCAGTTTAAAACTTATATTTTCTAAATCTTTAAGCTAGAGTGTCCAAAGCGTGCATACGTATGTCAGTGTGTGCGTGCGTGTGTGTGTGTGCATGTGCGAATAATTATTGAAATATCAGTTGCTCGAAGGGTTCAGGGGATCTCTTAGTCGAGCAGTGTCGACTAGAGCTTTCTTACTTGTTTTGACTTTTTTAATTAACATAGCTAATTTGAGTGACAATAAAATACATTATTTAAATCTATCTAATGAATACATACATATGTATGTATATCAGCGCTAGGACTTTTGAGGCAATTTTTAGTTACCACAGTGGTATTTTAGTAAGTATTCGGGATACGGAATTTAATATATTTAACTTTAGTGTAATCTATCTATTTCGGCGCTATTGAAGCTAGAGACTTGAAATGTTGAACACATATTCATGTATATCTCCGATTTATAAAGTTATAAAGTGTTAAAATTTTCCCGATCCGCCCACTAGGGGCGTGGCAAATCGGAAAATGCATTTTGCGATATGCCAGTTAAAGTTGAAGTGAAATAGAATTGATAATTTGTACACTTGTGTTCTGGTGGCAATAGACCAATTCAGAAACAATCGCACTGCTGACTAAAAAGCATCGGGAGGATCTCTAAAATTGAATTATGCGCCCGTTCGGCAACGATATTACAAACATCTCCAACAACAATGGAACCGGAACCAATGGAACCAATGGAGAGGATCGATCAAATGGCAATGGCAATAACAATGGCAATGGCAATGGCAACGGCAATGGCAATGTTAATGGGAACAACCCCATCAACAGAGACAACGTCGAGGCAGACTCCAATTCTTCGGCCACAAATGAGCTAGGCCTGGACACAGAAACAGACCCACGTATAGCCAGAATCGGCGGCATTGTCACATTCTCGCCAATTGCCGGACACGGTGTGATACGAGTCGTGCGACGCTGCGAGGACGCCAAGGAAAATCACAAGCTAGGTAAGATCCATGCCCACGCGACTTTGGGTCATATTAGTTGGAGCTACCAAGTACCAAGAGGAATTATATATGATTTGAAATTGCCATGCCCTTGAAATATAGGACGAATTTGCTGTTTGGCTTCATTGATATCTTTTGTCTACATATCCTATAGAAAGACCTTCTTAAATTAAGGTTTATTTTTTTACAGCAATAATTTGATATTGATATAGAGAAATTGATTTTATTCATTTCTAATGCTCTGCTTGTTCAATGAGCAATATTTATATGTGTATTTATTTGATCTCAAGTCAAAGTCTCATTCATCTTTATGAAATGTAATATAATGTTAACTGTATTCAATATTTTAAATTTCTCTCAACATATATTGCAAAAACTTGTCCGAAAGGCTAAATAACCTATCCCAAAAAATATTTGAATAGTATCAAGCAGCATTTTCCTTCCAGACAAGACATAACAAGTAAGAAGGCTCCAGTCGAGACTGCTCGACTGGGAGATACCCTGAACCCTCCAAGCTGATATTCTAATCATTCTGCACTTCTTCTATGCACACATACATACACATGCACTTATAAGCACGCGCTCTGCTAACTGCGCAGTAAGCAGCGGCTACGCTTGGGCTGCGCTGCAATGTGGGCAATATTATGAGAATTTATTAGTTGAATAATTTCTCTTGTAGTAAGAGTATCTTTATGAAACTTTTAGAATGTGTTCATATAGCTAAAATGTGTGTACATTCCAAAGCACAAGTCTCTAGTACTTGAAATGCGTTTTTTACAAATTGGGGGCGAAGGGGGCGTGGTATCCAAAATCTGTAAATTACAAAATCTTTGTATCCATTAACTCTATATACAACGCAAATTTGAAGTCTCCTGGTTGAAAAGTGTTCAAATTAGGCTGAAAAAACCAAGTCGAATTTTCGATTATTCTCGATAAAAAAGTTATCGGATGAGTTATCGAAAAAATAAAGCAAACTCGTACTGCCTATGATATACACGAGTATGCATGCCAAATTTCAGCTCTCTAGCTCTTATATCTTCTGAGATCCTTTTGCTCATACGGACGGACGGACGGACGGACGGACGGACGGAGGGACGGACGGACGGACGGACGGACAGACGGACAGGGCTATATCGACTCAGCTCGTCGTCCTGATCAAGAATATATATACTTTATTGGGTCTGCGATGATTCCTTCTGCCTGTTACATACTTTTCACAAAACCATTATACCCTGATTTCCCATTTTCAATGGGTTCAGGGTATAAAAATACTAGAGCCTATCAACATATCCTATCTATATCTCACATACGTACATATACATTTACGTATCGCCAGCTCCTCAGGAGTCACGCGTGTTACCATCAAAATCACGACATTTATAGTGTACGACATGTAAATGTACGACCAACTCTAGTTGTTACACATTATTGTTAATTTGTAAAAATATATGAATATATATTTCTTTTGAAAACAGATCAAAAACTGGCCAAGAGCCAAATTAATACAAATTAAAGATATAGTGATTTTATAAGTTCTGCTATATTTTGGACACTATTGATGCTAGATACCTGTAGATACTCGGGCTGACCACCCAAGACCAAAAAGCTTCGACGGATATATGTCCGCCCACAGGGGGCGTGGCAAACCGCAAAAGTTTATATCTCCTAAAGTATAATAGCTAGAAGCTTCAAATTTAGTTAGTTAAGTTACTAGTAACCTCCTCTACCGATGACCCAAAAATCATTTTTACGCCTCATTAGGGGCGTGGCATATCGAAAAATACCCTGTAATTTTCACATTTTTTGAGGGTAAGCATTCAAACTTTGCAGTTAGGGTACCGTTATCTCGCTCTAAGAATTGACCAAAAATGAGGTGTCTACACCCAGTAGGGGCGTGGCAAATCGGGAAAAACTGCATTTTCTACAGTATTAGAGCGAAACTTAACTACAAAATTGCTGATGGGATGTGAATGAGTATTCCGCAGTCGGTAACGCCCGACTGAAACGTTCTTACTTGTTTTATTTCATTTTCCGAAATTGCAATTTTTCGCCGTACTAAATTTGATTTTTTATTAGGTTGTAGTCGAGCACTCTTGGATGCATAGGTTTAAGCCAGTATCAATATTAAATATGTTTTTGAAATTGACAGCTCCATTATTTTAGTGCCAGAGGTTTCAATTCATTGACATGTCAACAGCTTTCAAGTGAGTATTATAAAATGATTACCTCTGGAAGTTCCACCAACCAGCCTTGGCTAAAATATAGCCCAGACTAGACAAGCAGACAAAATTGCCAAACGACGCCAGCTTGAGCTGATTCGAGACAACAGTTTAGTTACTTGTTGCTGCAGCACTCACTAGTTTCTTCACTGTATCTGAATTATTAAAAAGCACTTTTGTGCCTGCATAATTCAAGCGTAACTAGCTTCAAAAAAAAGTCTTACATTGATTGCGATTAGTTTACTACCTGACTTGACTCTGAATCTCGCTGCGCTCAAGACAGATTGCAATGCACTCGGAGCTACGTATGACTACTATGCTTAATTGTATCCATGTGAAAGCGAGCGCGAGAGGAAGAGGGAGACAGAGAGTGAGAGAGCCTGCAGCGCTGCAGCGGACGACCAACAATTAACTTTGTTTTTCGCTAACATTTTCACGCCATTTTAAAATTTACTTTACAGTTGCAGTTGCCCTAGACCGTTGCCTTGGTCGTGGCCATATTGTTGTTTTCTTCTGTCTGTTGTTCTTGTTGCTTTTATTTATTTTATTTATTTATTTATTTGCCATTTGGTGTGGAGCCCTCAAGCGTCGAGAGTTGCTTTTTGTTTGTTTCTTGCTGTCCGCAGGTGAGTAAGTGTAAGGAAGAGCGCAAAGGCAAAGTAAGGGGGAAGACTTGAGGTGAGCTGCAGCAGCCAAGTAGATGAACTGTGGAGTCTAGCCCGAAGACACAGCCCTTGAGCTTCGCACCTTTATGGACTCTTTCATCAGCACGCTGCGCTGCAAAGTTTAGTTCAACGCGTAACGAAGTTAGCGCCAAGCGTAGTGCAGCCCTCCAAAACCAGAGCGAACACCCGTCCTACACGCTCGTCCAGCTCCACAAGCTGCTCTAGCATGAACCTAATAGCCAAACTGGATAGGGTGGGCGTTGGCGTCGCTGCAAATGGGAGTGGCACCATAAAGACTAATTGAGTTATTTGTGCAGCTTAACTACAAATTAAAGCAGCCCCTGCACCGTGCACGCTTCCTGCCCTGCTTCTCTCAATCTCGAGCAGTCAGCCATTATTTACGGGTAGAAAAACAAGATGACACTACAGAAGCATAACTCAATAGATTCTGTGAGGACTTACTAAGCATACACAATCCTCACCTATCTCAATGATTGCTCCACACCAAAGAAGCTTACATGGGTTGCACTGACATATCCATGCAGATACATATGTACATATCATCTCATGCCCATATATAAGACGTTTAGTAAACGAGTATAGGAGTGGGGGGTAAATTTTGACAAAAACCGAAATTGTATAAAGTACATAAGTATACATTTAAAATTTGGAGACTCTATCTTTAAAGATGTATGAGATATAATTTTATCGGTTACGTTATCGATTTAAAAAAATTTGAAGTCTCTAGTTCATATATCTTCGGAAATCAACGCGTTCAATCATACGGACAGACACACAGACGGACAACAAGAATATATATACTTTGTGGGGTCTGTTACGCCTCCTTCTGCCTGTTACATACATTTCAACAAAACCATTATACCCTGATTTCCCATTTTCAATGGGTTCAGGGTATAAAAAATTATTGAATAGAAATGTTAAATTTATTTATTCGTATGGTATACTTTCTTTGACAGAGTTTGGCACCGAGGCCTGCTTTTTAAATTAAAAAACCAATTGCCTGCGCCGTACTACCTCTTCCTGAAGAGCTATCTCACAGACCGTAGATTCTTTGTTAGAGTTGGCCAAGAGGAGTCTAACATTATTCAGGTTTGCGCAGGAGTACCTCAGGGCAGCGTGCTTGGACCGGTGCTATACACACTATACACCTTCGGAGTCCCTCACTGATGATCGCGACCTATGCTGACGATACCGCTTTCTTGGCCACATCGGAGTCACCTGTGACTGAATCTAGGATCTTGCAACATCAACTGGACTTACTGTGCCCTTGGCTGAAAAGATGGTGCATAACAATCAACACCAGCAAATCAGCACACACAACATTCACTATGAGAAGAGGTGCATGCCCACAAATCTCGCTAGGTGGAGAACTCATACCTACTAGTGAATGCGTGAAATATTTGGGTCTTACGCTGGATAGAAGGCTTACATGGCGCCAGCACATCAAAAATAAACGCCAGCAGCTGAACCACAGACTTGGACGGTTGTACTGGCTTATAGGCAATAAGTCCAAGCTCTCCCTTAAAAACAAAATTCTAATATACAAGGTTATGCTGAAACCAATATGGACATATTGTCTACAAATGTGGGGAACGGCCAGCAATTCCAACGTGCGAATAATATAAAGATTCCAGAACAGAGCACTAAGAATAATCACCAAGGCTCCATTCTACATGAGGAACAGGTACCTGCATCGCGACCCAAATATCCAGACAATCCATCAAGCCATTCGTGAAACGTCAGGAAAATACACAACAAGGCTGGATGACCACGCCAATCCACTCGCCATTAACCTCCTCGACAACAGTCAACACTTGCGTCGCTTGAGGAGACTACATCCACTTGATTTACCTTTTAGAACAGATCATGCTATTCAACTAATTCAACCCTCCCTACACCCCCACCGCATAACTAATTAAGTAGCGCCCTGAATGTGTACTATCCCATTTATTGAATGTTCTACAAAGAACAGATTGTAAATAAAGATATATAAAAAAAAAAAAAAAACATTGTTTTTAGGTGATTTACGTCAGACTTTAAATTCCTAAAATAATTCTCTTAAACAAGCCCACAATTGTGGCCCATTTATAATAGTGGCTTCTTGGGGCACTGCTCGTGATATAAGTTCAAGGGCATTGTGAACGTATACACTTTACTATGTTGGTGTTTAGTTTCGTATTGACTCTTTATTCTGCTGGGCCCGGGTTTTTATACCCAGACTCATGTATAATTTCAACCATTAAATCTAGTGCTTCTATTGCTGAGTGTGTAAGGCTCAGCATTGGTCTATTACATATTATTAACTTATCGCGTAGTTTGTAAGACTCCGCATTGGTTTATTAGCTATTCTTATGCTATCGCTGAGTTTGTAATGCTCAGCGCTCGCCTCTTACGTATTCTAATCGCTAAGGGTCAGGGTCATAATTTATGCCCAGTTTGACAGTTCACACTTGAAACATATGTTATTTATTTTATGCTAGCTGTCGAGTGCATAGCGCGTACGTTCCCCTACTTATCATGTTTCTATGTTCATTAATGCGCATGAACTCATTGATATATTCATTATTGACAATTTGCAAACCGGGGCTTTGCTGCCCGGCTTGCGTGTGCAAGCAAAACAGCTGTTTTTAAAATAGCATCTATGTACAAAGCATTGCCAGAATGGTGCTTAACAAAAATCTTCGTGATGCACTCTTGAAAGCTGTCAACGAGCCTTAAAATAACGAAATGGTGATTACAGTGCTGCCTGCAGTACAGGTACCCAAAACCAATCCTCAAAGCGCAAATGGAGCAATGCGCTTTCAAAATGTGGAAACTAGGCGGAAAAATTCTACAATTAAGCGCAAGATAATTACTACGACTTCTCCTAATCTTGCTAAGAAGAAATTCAACCTTGGAAAGAATAACGAACGCTCTACCTCGCAACAATCTCATTATACTGGCAGTTCTAACAGATTCGGATTGCTTGCGCAAATTCCAGCTGACATGGATGTAGAAGACTTGTGCGAACAGCCCAGCACCAGCAATCAAGCGGCTATTGCTGCGTCGAATCGGACTGCTGCCATAGCTGGCAACTCTGGGGCTCCAGTTAAAGCTCAGCCGAAACCCCCACCAATCGTGATGGAGGGAATCAATAATGTAAATCTTTTGATGCAAGGTATTGAAAAGGTAACGGATGTGAACAAGGTCGAGGCCAGGGCTTCTTTGGGTGGCGTCATGAGGTCTACACTGCTGATGCTGCTACCTTCCGCAGCATATCAGTTAAAAGAAGACAGACCGTACAGAGTCTGCGTTAAAGGCTTGCACCACAGCACCTTAATTAGCCAGATTAAGGAGGAATTAGGCAAAATAGGCCACAATGTTATTGATGCCCATACGCCACTACGGCGCAGTGAGCCAGGTACTCCTAAGGATAGCGAAGTGAACATGTTCTTCTTGAACATCGCAGCAGCTGATAATAACAAGGCGATCCTGGCAGTTAAGACTCTCTGCCATACGAGAGTCGTAATTGAACCCCTCCGTAAACGGACTGCAGCAGTGCAATGCCATAGATGTCAGCAGTTCGGCCATACGGCTAAGTACTGTCGTAAGACGCACATATGCGTGAAATGTGCCGGAGAACATACATCCAGAGATTGCAATCGACCACGCAACGAGCTTTGCACGTGCTTCAACTGTGGGGAGCAGCACCCTGCAAACTACTCGGGCTGCACTAAATATCAGGCCTTCCTACAACGCTCCAGACCCAGAAGTGGACTAGGCGCCAGATTCATGAGCAACGAGCGACCTTTGCCACTAATTACTCCTAGAGACAGACCGGTGGCCACCCTTCGTATGCGGATGTAGCCAAGCAGCAACAGCAGCAGGCCCAACATCAACCACAACAGCAACCGTTCATGGACAGGGGCCGCAGCCGCCAAAGGACAACAAGAGATCCACATCATCCGTTGGACAGCGGTAACATTGATGTTATTTTGCAAGCGCTTAATGAAGACATTAGCTCTCTCCGCTCACTCCAAGAGAAGCAGCAGGGGCAAATACTGAATTTGCTCACAGCTCTTCAAGCGCAGAAGACACCATAATGATGCCGCTGCGCATCCTTGTGTGGAACGCCGATGGTGTTGCCACAAAGCTGCACGAAGTTGAGTGTTTCGTGCGGCGACACGAGATTGATGTTTTGCTGCTCAGCGAGACACACTGTAAGGAGCTACAAGCACCAAAAATATTTGGTTTTGAGGCATACACTGCTAACGACCCGAGTACCGGCAACGCCAAAGGAGGCGCAGCTATCCTAATCCGGTCCACTCTGGTCCACTTCCCGCTAACACCAATAGCCACCACAAAAGTACAGCTTGCGTCAGCAGCCATTCAAACGGCTCTCGGCCCTATCAACTTTGGGGCAATCTACTGTCCACCGAGGTTTGTCTGGACTACAGATGAATTTTAGGCGATTCTGGAGCATCATCGTTCTAAATTGGCTTTGGGGAGCAGGAAGGTGTAACCAAAGAGGCCATGAGCTTGCAAACCTCGACTTAAGCACTGAGATTAACGCTCTGGCAACAGGGGGAGCTACGAGGTATCCGTACGGCAGCAGAGGCTCACCAGGCTACATCGATTTTGCTCTGACTAAAGGATTGCTGAGCATCCACGCGGACATAAGAGCGGTTGTTGATCTCAGCTCTGATCATCTACCCCTCATAATTACGCTGGATGCGTCTGCTCTATGCTATCCTAGGACGGAACGGCTCATGAGCACCTCGAGTTGACATTGCACCTCAATATAGAGATGAGTTCTGGAAGGGATGTTGATGACGCTATCGACGTCTTCAATCACTCTATCCATGCAGCAGCTAGAATGGCCTCTGGAACAGCGCCCCGGCGTCCCGTAGCCGACAGGATTCCAGTAACAAGAGAAATTCTGCTGCTCATTGCCGAAAAGAGGCGCATACGCGCTAGATGGATGAGGTCTCGTCACCCCTTAGACAAAGCCGAGTGGAATAGAGCAGGGAGTAGGCTCCGTCGAGCACTTGCTGAGCACAAATCTGCATGGTTTGATGAGAGACTTGCCAATACTAGAGTTGCTAGTGACGCAACGCACTCCTTCTGGAAGGCCACGCGCGGTATTAAAAGGCGTTGCGCAAGGAAAGCGCCTCTAGTTAACAGTAACGAACATGGTGCCGGACGGACTTGGAGCAAGCAGAGGTTTTTGCTGGGCACCTTGGCGAGCGCTTCCAGCCATTTAATCTGGCCAGCCTGCAAGAAGTCCAAGATACTGATGACCAGCTGTCACAAGCGCTACAAATGGATCTGCCTATTGAGCCATTCGACCCAAGTGAGGTTGCTGATGTTATTGCTAGCCTGAACACGAAAAAAGCGCCGGGACACGACATCATCTGTAATGCCACTCTGAAGGCATTGCCTAGACATGCGGTTTGCTTCATAGCGTTGGTGTTCAATGCTATAGTAAGGCTGCAATACTTCCCTCCCCAGTGGAAACTTGGATTAATCACAATGATCCACAAGCCGGGCAAGCCGGAGAGAAAACCATCTTCTTTCAGACCGATAAGTCTCCTCCCTTCGATATCTAAGGTGCTGGAAAGACTTATTGCTGTACGGCTGGTAAGGATTATGGAAGCTCGAAGAA